TGGATTTGGCTATGTGGTTTGTGGTTGGATTTGAGTCACAAATGATTATCTTTTATTTTTTTTAATAATACATAATTTTTTTTACAAAAATGTAAATTCATATCAAACCACTAACCACAAATAGTTAATTTGAACCTTTCTGTTATATTATGACCATCTTCTATCTACGTGTACAAATTGAAAACTTAGGGGGTCTTTTGTGTAATTTGCCCAAAAATTTAAGAAGAGAAAAAAAAAAATGAAAGAACGTTGAAGAGGAAAATTAGGGTTGTATTGAAGAAAGTGAGTGAAATTTTTTCGAAGGGATCAAAAACCTTGAAATAAGAAAAAAAAGTAAAAGAGAGAAAAAAAAAGTTAGAGAATTTTTTAGAAAGAGAGAATTTCATAGGGACATTTTTTAAATTTTTTAAAAATTACATAAATTAAAGTAAATAACTATATATATTGAACAGTTATTATATTGGGTCCAAAATTGATACCTTTAATAGGAAATTTCAAGGGGACATTTCATTTAATAAAGAAACAAAAACACTTACTATTACTAAAGTGAAAATTGTATAAGAAGACAAGAAAGAATAATTTAGATTGTGTTGGGGTTGTTTAAACTCCTCCTTATCCTCTCCTTCCGGACATTAAAAGATTGGAAGGAAAATGATAGTGGGCTAAGTAATATTTTAAAATTTTTAAACTGCCCTTAACAATTAGATGGTGGAAATTGTTATTTCACTCATGTCATATCTAATTAAAAGGGTATGATAGTAATTTAGTTATTATTATTTCTTTTATTTTCTATCATGTATCTTATTCAAACAAGAATACTATAATTTATTTATTTATTTCTCTCCTATTTATCCAAACATGAGTAAAGATTATTACTATCATTTCCTTTCTTTGACGTGGCGAAAACGATTACTTTGAATCCATAAAGTTGAATAAAAATTGCAAATCAATTAAAATATTATTAACTGGTTGAATTCTCTTTGCAGTATATACATATTTATTATAGAGAAAATATAACACTAGAAAGAAACTAAAAATATAAGGAAACTCATCCTAGAAATAAGCCTAAAAATAAATTATCTCTAAAAAATTCTGAAAAAAAAAAAATAGAAAACAAAACCTAATCAATAAAAACTACTAAATATATAATCTCATAGCATTTCAACTTCGATAAGGGCTCGAACCAAAATCTCAAAATAATCAACAGGCCTCTTATAAGACAATAAAATGGGATTTTGAAGCCCTAAAATAAGGTTTTCAGTTGAAAACTAACATCTCCCAAAAGCTAAAGTTAGTGAATTTTTCTTAATGCGTCGTTAATTTCCACCCAAAAAATACTCCATTCTAGTGAAAAATGAACTTGCAGAACTGTTCAGAATTTTGTCCTACATCATAATGTTATCATTTTTTTTTTTTTTTTTTTTTTCCTATGAATCCAAAAGAAGCCTTAGCGTTTTGGTATTGGTACTAATATTTGACATGTTCAAAAGATTCAATATTAATTCATGAAAATCTAGTTTGCCCTTTCAATCTTTTTGGTACTTGGATAAAAAAAAAAATTGAAGATATATCTATACTATTATTAAAAGTACAAAATGTTTGAGTACATTATTGTGCTTCAATATATTAAAGAGTTTCAGTAAATTATTTTATAATAAAAGAAAATAGTAATAATAATAATATAGTATTAAGAAATACTGAAATTCAATTAGAAAAAAAATAAACAAAGAAAATCTAGTTAAATAATTATAATATAGTAATAGGAAATATATAATATAGTAATAGAAATAATAATAATATAGTATTAATAAATACTAAAATTCAATTAGAAAAAAAATACAGAAAGGAAATCGAATTCAAGAATGAAATGCCAATAATAATAATAATAATATATTGTAGGAAATATAATTACAGAAGGAAATATATCATTTTTAAAAATTGAATTACTAAAATTCAATAAAAGAAAATCTAATTAGAGAAGAAAGTATATAATATTAAAACTTATTAACTTAATTTAATAAAAGAAAATCTAATCAGCGGAGAAATACTACGAATAATAATATAGTAATTGAAAATACTGAAATGAAATAAAAGGAAATTTAATTAGAGAATGAAATATATAATTTATTTCAATAAATACATAACAACAATTCTATATTAAAATATACTAAGAAAATCATACATTAAAATTTCAATATAAAAAATTATTTTTACATTTATTTTTTTATAATTAATTTAAAATTTTTTTAATGTTATTTATTTCAATAAATAATATGTTTTTAAATAATAATTTTATTTATATTTCAAAATGTTATTTATAATTTATGTTCTTTAATAATAATGCAAAATTATTTATATATATATATAAACCACGTGTGATGCACATTAGTGGAGGTGTGTGTGTATAACTCTATAAAGTAAAAAAATTGTAAAGGATAATATATATATATATATATATATATATATATATATATATAATCTAATGAAGTTGAGTTGGTTATGAGTATAGGAAATTATACGATGAAGTTAATAAAAATTAACGTGTTTGAGTTGGTTAGGTTGTTAGAAATTTTTGTCCCAATAGACTTTAATTCCTCAAGTCCTACAAGTAAATTGACAACAAAAAGAGCAAGTTTAATTTGTCATGAGGGCGCTTTGACTGTTTCTCAATCCACTAATTGTCGTCGCCATCCTTTCATGGCAACTTCCCTTTGCATAACAATAAAAGTCCTTCCAAAGAGTTCATTTTGGGTGAGTCAAAGCTATCTTTCTGTGTTCTCATATCCACTAATGCTACATTTGGTGTGCAGGAATAGAATGGAATGGAATGCCTATTCCAACCATTCCTTTGTTTGGTGTACAGGAATGGAATGGAATGGCCATTCTATTGGAATGAAAATCCATTCCACAACTAAACCTATGGAATGGCCATTCCATTCCCAAGTAATTATTTTTAAAAAAATTGACTTCCCAAAAAACCCTCATATTCCAAGTCCAAAAACCACCAACCACCTTCGCCTTTCACCACTACCACCACTACCACTGCCTTCCACCACCACCATCATCGCCACCGCCACCACCTTTCACCACTACCACCACCACAGCGACAGCCTTACACCACTGCCGCCTCCTTCCACCACCACCTTTCACCACCACCATCGCCGCCACCGCCTTCCACCACCGCCGCCGCCTTCCACCACCGCCATCGCCATCTACCACCTTCCATCACCATCACCGCCACCTTCTACCTCCGCCACCACCTTCCACCACCATTGCCGTCACAGCCACCACCAACGCCACCTTCCACCTCCGCCAACACCTTCCACCACCACTACCGTCGCAACCACCGCCACCACTACCATCGTCACCACCTTCCACCACTGCCGCCGCCGCCACCTCCACTGTCTTCCACCGCCACCATAGTCACACCACTATCTTCTTCCACCACAACCACCACACCATTGTCACCTTCCACTAACACCGCTGCCACCTTCCACGACCACCACTGCTGCCACCACTTTCTACCATTGCCACCACCTCCGCCTTCCAACACCACCACCTACACCGCTACCGCTTTCCACCATCCACCACCACCACTGCCACCATTTGTTTTTAAAAAATTATTAGAGAATATTATTTTGTTAATTTAATTTATTTGTTATTAAAAGGGATATTTTGGAGAATTCAATTAGAAATTTATTCTATTCTAAATTTTAAATTGGTCCAACCAAACACTAGAATGGTTATTATCATTCCATTCCTACACATGTCATATTTACAACCAAACAATAGAATGAGAATGACCATTCCATTCCATTTCCACTAGTATTTCATTCCTATACACCAAACGTATCATAATGGTATCAAGACAAGCTAATTGATAATACTTCTAAAATTTTGAATTAGACTAATTTTTTAATAATTTTTAAACTTTTCATTTCAAAATATTGCAAAGGACAAAATATAAATAAAGAAAATAATAGCTTGTGCTCGAATTTTCAAGTCTAGATGGATCTCATCTTAATACATTAAATGCATTAGAAATTCTGGAGTCAACATTTTTTATGGTTTCATACCGTCTAAAAATAATTATTTTAAAAAAAATTAATAATAAATAATATTTTTATCAAATAGTAACCCTTTTAATCAGGTTACCTTTGTTCTTATATATACATATATGAAAAAAAGAAAGATGAAAAATATAGAACAACAATCAGTCCTTCCCCTCAAAACTGAGGAAAGACAAAGCAAGATCTCATAATTCATAATTACTTGATGAATTAATTGGAATCACACCTATATTATGTTCGTTTTTTACTAGTTGCAAGACATCCTAAGATACATGTTGTATCGTGTTCTTATTACTTCAAGATAAACGATTAAATTTATATTAAAAATGTCAAAAAGTGTCGATATAAGTATTGACAAAGTGTCTCAAAAAGTGTCGACGAAAAATTCAAAAAACATCATCTACACGTTCAAAATAATAAAATTTAATTTTTATTTGTAAACACGTATGTGTTTATATATGAACTTCTACTGTTATGCAGAGGAAGTTGCCATGAAAGGATGGTGACACCCCATCTCTGTCGAATTTCTAATGCATTGAATGACTTAAAGTGAAACCTATCTAGACTTAGAAATTCGAGCATATGTATTTTTTTCTTTATTTATATTTTGCATGTCCTTTACACTCTTTTGAAATGAAAAGTTAGAAAAGAATTATAAAACTAGTCTAACTCAAATTTTAAATAGTATTGTTAATTAGCTTGTTATGATACTATTGGAGATCAGAACACGGAGGAGAGAGAGCCCACATTGACTCACCCAAAATGAAGTTTTCGGAAGGACTTCTACTGTTATGCAGAGGAAGTTGCCACGAAAGGATGGTGACACCACATGGCAACATCTTTATCGTCTTGCGCTTGGTCGTCATTGAAAGATTTTTCTATAAGATAAGCAATAACAATTACAAGTTTTCCAAATTACAAACATCTCATCTAGCCTCACAAAGAAAGTGGCCCCCATGAATTCGCTAAGAAAGTTTCTGCTGGTCACTCTAGTAGCAGCCATGGCAGCACCAGCAAGTGCTCAAGCCAAACCAGGTTGCCAAGACAGCTGTGGCAACCTTAGCATCCCATATCCATTTGGCACAAAGCCGGGCTGCTACTACAACCGTGCATTTCTCATAACTTGTAACGACACTACCAATCCTCCCAAGCCTTTCCTAACAAAAAGTCGTATTGCTGTCACCAACATTTCACTCCATGGTCAGCTGCAAATCTTGCAGTCTACAGCCTATAACTGCTACGAGCAGTCAGGTAGACAGGCCTCATATAACCTACACTGGCTCAGGTTGTCCAAATTCAGGATTTCTAGTACCCGAAACAAGTTCACAGCAATTGGTTGTGACACTTACGCGACCATTCGTGGTTACCTAGGAGAGAATGAATACGCGAGTGGTTGCATGTCCATATGTGACAGCATAGACTATGTCACCAATGGGTCCTGCTCTGGAATTGGTTGTTGCCAAACATCGATCCCAAAAGGAGTAAGATATTATGAAGTGACATTGGAAAGCTACAACAATCATACAAGAGTGTGGAATTTCAGCCGATGCAGTTTTGCCTTTGTTGTTGAAGAGGATAAGTTCAACTTTTCCTCAAACTATCTTAGCGATTTAAAGAATGTAGAAAAGCTTCCAGTGGTGGTTGATTGGTCAATCGGAAATGAGACATGTGAAGTTGCTAGAAACTCCTCTGGATATGCATGTAAAGATAATAGCAACTGTTATGAAGTTGATTATGACGCTGGGTACCGTTGCAATTGCTCCGAGGGTTACCGTGGAAACCCTTATCTCCCTAATGGTTGCCAAGGTATCTATCATATATATTCATGTAATTATTGGGTCTGTTCATTGCTAATTTTATGTGGTGATTTACTTCTCTTTTTATTGTACTGCAGATATAGATGAATGTAATGATCCAACAGTACTCAATCCGTGTGAAAAGAAATGTGAGAATACAGCCGGGAGTTACAAGTGTTCTTGTCCCAAGTGGTACAAGGGAGACGGCATAAAAAATGGCACTGGCTGCACTGTTGATCAACTATTGGTAATTAAGATTGCTCTAGGTAAACATTTGGGCTTAATATCCTAAAAGTAAATGTGATTTTTCTAATGGTAGAGGAATTCCAAATTTCCAATAATATTTCTCAAACAAATGTGTAGTTTAGTTTCAATGTAATATATATATATATATATTCTAAAATGAATATTTTCTGTAAGAAACATTTTACATGTAAGATAAGTTTTTTGTCCCATTTTTTTGGTGGTTGGCAATAACCTGAAAACTAAGGGTCTAGTTGTATCTCTCTTATCTTTTAAAGTAGATGGTGAGTGTTTAAGTTTTCAAAGGGACAGAGTTGATGTGTGAGTGGTGTATGTTTCTTGCCATTAAAAGAAAAAAGAAAAAAAAAAAAAAACAATTTGAAAATATTTTTAAAGGGTAAAGTGCAAAAAACCTTCTTAAACTATATTTGAATTTGCAAATAACCCCTTGAAGTATATTTTACACATAATACTCCCTGAACTATTATTACATTTTGTTGCAAAATGCCCCAATGGCTAGAGTATATATATATATATATATATATATATATATATATATATATATATATATATATATATATTCCTAGTTGGTACTCACACACACATGTCTATTATGAGATTCGAACCTCCCTTTGAGAAGTAAGGGACTGATATCGCTAGGCCACTGGCCCGTTGGTGCCTAAAGTATATTTCATTAAATGCCCATAATGCAATTCTTATTAATTACATTTAATATATTTTTCTAATTAAAATAAATTATGAAAAATATTAATACTAATTTGAAGTCATATTCACCATTAAATTTAAATAAATTTACCTTTAGTTTTTTAAATTAATTGTATAAATAAAAATCTTAAGTAGAAAATTTTAAATAATTTCTTAATTTTTCATGAATATATTGCATGAAAATGAACATATATTTTATTTAAGTAATTTATTAATTTTTCATTAATATATTGTATGAAAAATTAAGAAGGTTTTTTTTTACGGTAAAAAAATTAAAACTCAGTTCAATAAGTTTTTTATTTTTATTTTTTATAAATAATAAATTTTTAATAATAAGTTAATCATTTTAAAAAATGGTAGTTACAAATCTTTTTTTTTTTAATTATAAATTGATCCTAATAATAAAATTAAGGTAAATGGTATAAATAAATTAATGGTTCAATGGGCAATTTGTAGTTCAAGAGACAATTTACAAAAGGCAAAAGTTTTTTTTTTTTTTTTAACTTTACCCTATATATATATATATATATATAAAATGGAACTTTACCCTATTTATAACAAAAAGAAAAGAGTCAGTCTCCCATGCAATGGGCAAGAGTGAAATTTAAAATATGATCAAGACTAACTCAGATTCAAGCAGAATATACCTCGTTGGTTTGTCTGAGTCAAATTGCAGAACATGTTACAATTTTACTTCCAAAACCAACACTGCAAAGGAATTTATCTTTATTCAACTAAACTAGTGATTTGTGTGCTTAATCCATTATCTATTAGGATGAGTGGAACAAGCATTTTCGTTCTGATTTCAAGTTCTCTGAAATGCTCTACGTTCTGGACAATCAACTAGTTGAGTAAATAAAAGTCTGAAAATTCTTACAATAATCATTCAAATGCAGGTACTGCAATAAGTGTTATAGTTCTACTTGTGGGTTTCACTTTGCTGTATTTGGGACTCAAGAAAAGAAAGCTCATTATGCTCAAAGAGAAGTTCTTTCAGCAAAATGGTGGTCTAATGTTGCAACAACAACTCTCTAGACAGAAAGGGTCTACCGAAACAGCAAAAATTTTCACAGCAGAGGAGCTCAAAAAGGCCACTGACAACTACAGTGATGACAAGATTGTTGGACGAGGAGGTTATGGTACAGTTTTCAAAGGAACTTTAATAGATAACAGGGTAGTTGCCATCAAAAAATCCAAAATAGTGAATCAAAGCCAAATACAACAATTCATCAATGAGGTGATTGTACTATCCCAAATCAATCACAGAAACGTGGTCAAGCTCTTGGGTTGTTGTTTGGAGACAGAAGTTCCTTTATTAGTTTATGAGTTCATCACGAATGGAACTCTCCATGACCACATACATAATGAAAGTAAGACGGCTCCACTTTCCTGGAAAACTCGTCTAAGGATTGCTGCAGAAACTGCTGGAGTTCTCTCTTATTTGCATTCTGCAGCTTCGGTTCCTATCATCCATAGAGATGTCAAGCCAACAAACATACTCTTGGATGAAAATTACACTGCAAAAGTGTCCGACTTTGGAGCATCGAGATTAGTGCCCCTTGATCAAATGCAGCTATCCACATTGGTGCAAGGAACTCTTGGATACTTAGACCCTGAGTACTTGCAGACAAGTCAATTGACGGAGAAAAGCGATGTTTACAGCTTTGGGGTTGTCCTTGTAGAGTTGCTAACGGGAAGGAAGGCAATCTCCTTTGACAGGCCAGAGGAGGAGAAAAACCTAGCTATTTATTTTCTTTCTGCGTTGAAAGAAGATCGCTTGTTTGAAGTTCTTCAGCGCAGGATAGTTCAGGAGGGAAATACTGAGCAACTCAAAGAGGTTGCTGTTCTTGCAAAGAAGTGTTTACGAGTAAATGGGGAAGAAAGACCTAGTATGAAAGAAGTAGCAATGGAACTGGAGGGACTAAGAGTAATGGAGCAGCATCCATGGGTTAACAGTGAATTGAATTCGGAAGAGACTGAGTGCCTACTAGGAGACACATCAAACACTTTCGGAATTGAAAGTACCGGTAACACAACAGGTGCATATGATAGCACTAGGGAGCATATTGTTCTGCCATTAGATGGTGGGAGGTGATTGTTTTGCCATTTGTGCATATGCATCTTCATTGAAGGTGTGTACTGCGACTGTGCCCTATCCTATGACTGGAGTGCCTAGTGATGTCCTAATTTGCTATATGATCAGCATCTATACCTGTTGTGCATGAAAGATGTGTAGCTAATTGCGTAGTTATCTGCTTGCAATGACTTCTAAAATTTGATTTTCAGTCTTTTTTCTTTATCTGTAGAATTTTTTTTTTTTTTTTTTCCCTTTTTTTTTTTTTGTGTGTTCTTAAGTAATTGGGTAATTGTTAGGCAGACGCACTAATATGGTGTTTTCTATACCTATAGTGTGTGAATGTGTTTTGCTGCAACCTAAAGTGATCAGATCTGTTGCAAGAGTGAACTTTAGCAATGAACTTTTCATTGTGGTTTGTAGGAACATTTTGTGATGTAACTTCGTTGTAAAATTACTTTTAGCAAAAGCTTTTTTTTTTGAAAGATTAACTAATTTACATCCCTGGAGGGTTCTTAATCAGATTATTTCTCCAACAAGCAGCAAAATTGGCTTAGGAGATATGAAAAATGTTTCTCCTATTATTAACTAAAGTAGTATTCAAAAAGAGTGTGATAATTCTTTTGGGAGGGGTGGTTAAACAACAATAACATAAATTCTTTCCAAACTATCATAATAAACAAAAATAAAATACTTTAATCTTCATTGATAATTTCATTGAGCACGTACCTTTAATTACAATTGTTCTTGATGAGTTTTCATATCTTACAAACATTGCATTATCTATGCTACTAAACATATCTTTTTCAACATATACAATCAATCTATCACTCTTCCATTAATATATCTTTCTCAACATATAGTTATACGATTGATATAAGGTATAAGAACTTGGCCGAGAGAGAAGAAATAAGATGACATAATAAATGAGAACTTACTCCAACAGCACAAGATCATGAAGCCCATACTCCCCTATTCCAAGTAACACTAGATATCACCTCAGAGCTCTACAACATTCTCAACTAATACGCAAATCTAAAATACAACACCTATTGGTGTTAGTTGTCCATTAAAAAAAAAAAAAAAACGAGGATTAAAGATTTTGAAACAACAAAAACATAAAATCACTCATAGTTTGTATCAGACACTATAGTGAATGGAAGAATATTGTATTACACAAGATTAGGGGCAAATTACAATCTAGGGTTTTGCGAACTCGAATGGAAGCTTTCTTAAACCCTAGAGTGGGAAAATGGGGAGAATGATCCTAGACTTCCTCCTTGTCCGCCAGATTAATTCTTTAAGGTTCGAGAAAAACCAGTAGCAACTGAATTTCAACTTGATTGATTTCAGTTGCTTATTTTAGGCCTTTTGGGTCATGTTTTGTGCTAGTATGTCCTTGTACATTTGTTCCTTTTGGCCCATTGGGCTTAGAATTCTTAAATTCAAGCTTTGCCTTTATAAAATACCAACGTGCTCTCATGTCATATGGTTCACATGAATTGCGAACTCTATTCGTATTGTGTGATTGGATAATAGTAAAAGAAATGGGTTCCCAACAAGGGTCGTGGTAGATGGGCCGATGATTTTGGCAGAATACACATGGCAGTGCAGGTAAGTAATTTTTTTTTTTTTTTTTTTTTGGTAAAGTGGATTCTTATTGTTCCTCTTTTTCTCTCTCATCTTTCTTTTATCATTAAGGAATCCTTGCACACAGCCGTCACCGGCATCAATCACTCGCCGGGCTAAACATATTAGCCGTCACACGCGATAGCTCGCCGACGCCATCTCTCCACCATCCGAGCTCTCTGCCATCGTTCCATTATAGCTGCTCATTGATACCGCCGGTCAAATTAACCATAGCCGAGCTTCTTCTTGCTTGTCGGCCGATAACATCCGAAGCCGCAAGCTCACGGCCAGGCCATCCACAGCCAAGCACTCCATCGGTCGAGTTCTCTAAATTCAAGCCCGTCTTCATCCTCACCGTCTATCTCACCGTCATCCCGCCCTACGCTCCCTGCTCTTTGGTTCTGGAGTTCTTCACTCGCATCTACTTCTCATTTATTTGTAGAAGACTAAACTCTATCTAACCCAAACTCAGCAACAATGGCATACTCTCTATAGGGGTTTTTTTTGACAAGTAATAAAAAAAGAGATATCAGTAATACAAATACGAAGGAAAACAGAAGAGATGCTTAGTGTAGGAGGAGGAGAAGAAGACCAATTAACTAGATTCAGATCATGGTAGGGCGAATACACAATGTGACAGCTTTTTCTTTTTATTCGGATAGTCCCCCCCGCTTTCTTCATAGGACAATGCTATTTATAGATCGAGATTCCATTGGTCATTATCCAGTGGTCCCTTCTATGATGGTTTCTGGCATGCATCACCCCCAATCCGGATTACGCGAGTAATCCTGCAGATTTAGAGGGCTGAAGGGTCTAATCCTTTCCTCGAGCCTTGTCCCATGTTGCCATGTCACTTCTCCCCTAATCAGGGGCATTAAATGTTGCTTGGCCGTCGATTGGTCAAGCCTGACACAGCATTAATTGTGATTTTAAGGTTTGCTGTCATAACGTGTATAATCCCATCATCTTGTTAATTGGGCCTTGCTAAGAGCGAAGGCACTTCTTGACTTCTCATCCACCAATCCAAGATCCTCCTAGGTTTCCCAAATATGGACTTCTATAACACACAGATCCTACCTCATCTTGTGCTAAGGAGCTCCGATATCTCAGAACGGTGTCACCTAGCGTAACACCAGGATTCAGAATGCTCGAAGATCAGCCTCTCGAGGCTTACTGGGCCTGGGGGGATGCCAGGGCTTAGAGTGCTCAAGATTTGATCTTTCAAGGCTTGAGGGCCTGGAGCGATGCCAGGGCTTAGAGTGCTTGAGATTTGATCATTCGAGGCTTGGGAGCCTGGCGCGATGCCAGAGCTTAAGGTGCTCGAGATTTGATCATTCGAGGCTTGGGGGCCTGGCGCGATGCCAGGGCTTAGGGTGCTCGAGATTTGATCTTTCGAGGCTTGGGGGCCTCGCGCGATGCCAGGGCTTAGGGTGCTCGAGATTTGATCTTTGGAGGTTTGAGTGCCTGGAGCGATGCCAGGGCTTCGAGTGCTCGAGATTTGATCTTTCGAGGCTTGAGTGCCTAGAGCGATGCCAGGGCTTAAAGTGCTTGATCTTTCGAGGCTTTTGACTTTTCAACTTGCCACGAAGGACTTAGCCAGGGTTGTATTGACTTGTTAACGTGCCATATCAGCGTCTGATAAGTGACACCCACATTTTGCCCCCTGCACGTGTGACGATTCAAAATGAATTATTGCGCGTGCAAGACTGGGCTTCTAGGTCATTTATGTTTTCGAGGAGCCGGAAGAGACGCGAGCATGAAAGGTCGCCTCCAGTTATTAATGCGCTGTCTGTTGCCGATTTGATTTTTTGGGGGTTCCCGAGGCAAGAGAGCTATTAAAAGGGAGACAGCGACGAAGTGAAGGATTATTTGTGAAAAGGACTTAAAAAAAAAAGTACAAAGATTACCTGAACCTCCGTCGTCGCCGGAGAAGAGATCTCACGAAAGTTTAGAGTTCTTTGGTGCATTATTTGCTTAGTGGAAAGGATTGCCATCATGGTTAGCAAGAAGTAAGAGTTATGCAAGAAGGATTGCCCTCCGCCAAAGGTGCCAGCAGATCCGGAATGGCGACGGGCGCCATTTTTTGGTAAAAACGACCTGTTTTGGCACCGGGCAAGCAAGGTTGTAGTTGCCGGCAAACCACTTGAAGTGGTTGAATTGATGGAGGAGGAAGTCGAAATGAACTTGGCTCCTCGCATCCCTGCGGATACGATCCTGCGGTTTGGGGTTGAGCAAGGGCAATATCCATGGTCCTATGTGAACTTCAATAATCACATAAGTCCAGCCCATAGTTGGGAGAAATGGACAGACGCGATCCTTGCAAATCCAGAGTACGAGGTAATCTTGGATGTAGCGAGTTTAACACCGTCAATTAAGCTGTTTCGCCAGATACACATTCCTCGCGATACTGCAGGTTTATGGGAACTAACCTCGCGATGGAGCTCAAGCTCGCACACTTTCATTACTGCGTGGGGAGAGTTCACTCCCACGATTGAGGACGTGAGCCAGTTGTTAGGCTTACCTTTTCAAGGAGTGAAAAATCCTGGCTCTTGGGAGTTCACACAAGCTGAAGAGACATTAGCTCATGATCTCGAGACAGCACTGGAGAAAACTAAAGATTTTAAGTCGCTGTGGGGCGCACAGGGTGTTTGCCATGCTGAGCGAGGCAAGGGTACCCGCAAGGCCACTCTTGGGGCGCTGGTGCGATATTATTTTAAGGATTTCCCCATGACAAAAAAGAATCTCACAGAGGAGGGAAAAAAAGGATTCCAGGTCCCTGGGTTGACCATTCTTCCAGTCTCGCGGCCTACCTACTATGCTGGCTATCGAGATACCTGTTCGAGGGGACTCCGGAGGATGCTTCGCAACTACGACTTGTGAATCTGGCGGTGAAGCTGGCGAGTGGTGTGAAAGTGGCCCTCGCACCTCTATTCTTGGGAACATTATACCACCGGCTTGACATGGTGTGGGAAGATATGGGGCGATCTGTGGGACGCTACGTCCATTGCTCATACGCGTCTACCATATTTCTACAATTGTTCTTGTACGAAAGGTTCCAATCTTATGCTCCCATCCCCGTAGACCTGGCTGCGGACGAGGAGGTGGTGCGAGGCATAAGGTGGCATGGTCGATCACCGCGAGGATGGCTAGGATATGCCTTGGACCAAAGCTTACAATTCATCAGTTGCCTTTATGTGGTGGAGCTGCCTGGGGCTAAAACTCTGCCCATGTATTTTGATGATGATGAGCACGTTCCAGCGGGTGCTCATCACCTAAATGCAAGTGAAGTATTGGTGTTCTTGTTGATGAGCACCCCTGGCTACTTGCTCGCGATATGGGAAGGGGGCTAAATAGCAAAGACATACAACCTTCGTAGAGTCCCTCTGCAATTTAGTTACGATAGGGGGGTACCTTCACAATACATCTTTGTGAAGGGTGAGGACTCTTACGAGAGTAGCTTCGTGCGATTTGTAGCGGAGCACATTGGGCTACTTCGCGAAGGCATTGGCGGTGTCTTTCTGCAGGGAAGAAGCAGGGTCCCAAGATGTACAGAGACGGCCCGCTCGCTATGGGCTATTGAGCTGGAAAGATTTTTGTCAGAGTCCCGCCCATCGCGTGAAGGCGTTGGTGATTTATTCGGGGGATTACTCACTAAGGCCTCCAATAGCCTTTGATAGGGGGGACCTCTGCAGGTTTGCACCAGACCCTGCACCCATTATGACACAAGGGGAAACATCTCAATCTGTCACGGCGACCACTAATCCTACCGTCAAGGTGGCCCCAGTGCCTATGCGCAGGCGCAAGAAGAGGGCATCTTCCCGCGCAAACTTTCCCCCCCCAGCAAATGCGCAGCTGTGAGTGTTGCAGAGCCTGCTGTTGCTAGCATGGAGAAGGAGAATGTAAAGCCTCCGGCGCCAAGCACATCTCGTCCTACGGCCTCCGCGAGCAGAATCCCACTCGTGGATGAACCTACTGAGAGTGAGGATACAACTACTTCTGAAGATGGTGGCGAACAGCCTCTCATTGGAGAGCATGGCTCGATGGCTGCAGCCTTTGGGACAGGGCGAGGAGGGTTGCGCAGGCTCTACCAGGTCCAAGATAGCGGAATTGACACCACTGTCCATGACATAAGCTCAGGCGAAGTACTAGCTTCTGACAGTGAATTTCCAAATTTACCTACTTTTGATTTTATGAAAGCCCTAGGTGAGAGTGCCCTATATTGTGATGGTCAGGAGGACACTTCAATGGGTGTGAGAGAGAAGGAAATGGAAGAGCTCGCGCTAGATGTCTCGCCTCTGATCATCATTCAAGACGTGCCTGTGCGAACGCACGCCGCTGAGGTAGTAGAGATGATGCGCGGTTATGTAAGTGCTACCGCGCCACCGCAAGTGAGCGCCCACCATACCGAGGACGGCATGCTTCCCCAAGAGAAGGAGGATGTGTCTCAAGACGCTACCCTAGTGAGGGCTGAGAATGGGTCAGAATCCTAAAACTCTGAGATGGCAAGTCATTCAGGCGATGCTGCAGGTGGGTCAACCAGGGGCAAGAATGTAGAAGTGACCCTGCGGGCCTACACAGATACAATTTCGAGCTTGCCTGTGGATGTGCCAGAACCCTCTCCACCGAGAGACGAACAGATGGGGGTGAACCTCGCTTCTGGAGTGGGCGAGGCCTCTGAGCACGACCCCCAAGTCTCACCACAAGGGATAGAACAGGCCCCTCAAGTAAGCGACGAGGCGTTACAAGAGGAAAGGGTTCAAACCTCTCCTTTGATGGAGTTGCAACCTTTACCAGTCCTCGCGATGCCACAACCGCAGATTACCGCACTGAATGCCGCGGCTACCCCAGCGAGGCAGTCCATAACTCCCAATGTTGAGCAATCCACAGCAGAAAGGACTCCTCATGCTCTTGGCGAGTCAACCTCGGGGGTTGACCAATGTGCTGGGAGTGACACAGGGTCACAAGCTGCTAGCGTTGAGGCAGAGTGGATGGGTATGCCATCGCGCCTATATACAATTCCTTGAGGCAGCCCTTGCACATCATCCTGAGGTTGTGTAATTTTTATCTTCACGCCATGCATATGTGCGGCACTCAATTTACCTATGCCTTGGAAAAACTTTAGAAGTTTTTGTAGAAATCGAGCAGGGCGCGACCAATGAATCCAGGAGGCTACGCTCCTATTGGATGATGTTCAGAGGCTCGAGGTTCCGGTTTTATGGTTGCGAAAACGATTGTTTGTGGCTGAGAAGTGTTTGCAGCAGCGACTGCTCGCACTGCGCCTTCAAGAAGTACAGGCACGTATTGGCAAATTAGAGGGGGAGCTCGCACAAGAGTGAGAGAGCTTGGAAGTATTGACAGCGTATTCAAGGGAGCTCGATGACGATTACTCGCTGCTGTCAACATTTAGGGATTAGGCGTGTTTCTCTTTTTGATTATTGATGTAAATGAGTCAAAAACTCCATAATTGTAATCGAACAAGCCTGAATGAAAAGGAAAATTGTGATTATTCCACTCTTGGTGGGTGTTTTTTTTTTTTTTTTTTTTTTTTTTTTTTTTTTTATTTAAGAATTTGAGTTATGCACCAAGCTGAATAAAACTAGAAACTCTTATTCAGAAGAACCAATTTCAACAAAAGTAAGGCCTGAGCCAAACATTATTAATAGGGTTACAATCAGAGCCTTCGAGTATGCAATAGCCACTATCATTAGATGTCCTGACAATATAGGGGCCCTCCCAATTAGGTGAGAACTTGGGAGCTGAGAGGCCGCGCATAATGTGTGAAGCAGCTTTAAAAACGAGCTAGCCTAGTTGGAACTGTCGAGGTTGGACATGCTTGTTATATGCTCGCACTATGTTGCACTGATACTGTTGGAGGTGCTGTAGGGTTAATTCACGCCGCTCATTGAGGGCTTCCAACTTAATATCTCGTGACATGGGAACCCCGCTGCGCGAGGCAAGCTGCGCCGCCGGGACTGCAATATCAATGGGCAAAACAGTTTCCGTTCCATAAACAAGAGAGAACGGAGTTTGACCTGTGGAGCACTTGGTAGAAGTGCGATAAGCCCATAGTGCTAGACGCAATTGCTCTACCCAGGTGCCAGGATTTTCTTCAAGCGTTCTACTGAGGATTCGGATGAGATTCTTGTTTGAAGCCTCTGCTTGGCCATTACCTTGCGGGTAGTATGGCGATGAACGCTTGTGATGGACATTGTACTGCCTAAGTAATTGCTTGACTCTATGATTAACGAAAGGAGTACCATTGTCGGTGAGAAGGTAATGAGGAATCCCGAAGCGGCAAATGATATTCTCTTTGATGAAAGCCGCGACGGCCCCGCCGGTGGCATGCTTAAGGGGAATCGCCTCGATCCATTTTGTGAAATACTCTGTTGCAACAAGAATCCACATGTGACCTCGCACCGGTGGGTGGATTGGCCCGATAAGATCCAGCCCCCATGTGTGGAATGGCCAAGGGACTTCGATAGGATAGAGGGGTGTAGCTGGTGTATGGATCTAGTGATGATGATGTTGACAAGGTCGACATCTTGGCATCGCGCTCCATAGTAGGCCAATAAATTCCCTTTTGTAATAAATACAAAAAAAGCTTGCGCGAGCCTTGATGCTCCAACTGGTGAGCCTCCTTGAGAGCTTCCATGGCATCCTCGTGAGATAAACATTGCAGATACGTACCGTTGAGGGTTCGATGAAAAAGTTCACCGTCTTGTACCTCAAATCTTGCGGACTTCCTCTTGAGCTTTGCAGCAGCTTGTTTATCATCTAGGAGTACACCATGTGAAAGAAAATCAATGAACGGGCGACACCAATCAGAGATCTCGAGAATACACGATTCGAACTCGTCCATTATAGCCTGACATCGCGGACAGGTGCACTGCAAGGAATTGGCTTGGGCTGTCATATCTGGCCAAAAATAACCTTGACGCTGGAGGTGCCGGTACAACGCCAAAGGTGTAGCACAATGCTGCTCGTGAGTTGCTATGAGAGCCGCCTCAGCATCGCAAAGGCCTAAACATCTGGCCAACGTTCCGCATGGTAGGCAGAAGTAGAGCAGTCCCTGTAAGAGCTGGAATGATTTTAATTGTGTGAGAGGCATCGACCCTGTCCGCTGTTTGAGCTGATTAATGATTGGGGCTAGCCAATCATTGTCCGGAACAGTTTGGGCCGGGAAAAGCTCAGCGATGATAGCTGGGCTGATGCGTTTTGTAATACGGATCTCAGTCATGTCATCTGTAATGGTTAGCTTCGAGGCTAACGTGGCGAGGGCATCTAGGTACCTGTTATTGGAACGAGGTACATACAAGAAATGAATAGAGGAGAATCTTGCGAGGAGCTTTTGAATAATGGTACGATAAGATGCGAGCGAAGGCTCGCGTATAGCATAGTCACTAGTTACCTGTTTAACAACCAACTTGGAATCTCTGCATACACATAAGTGCAAAATACCTTTGTCGAGGGCTGCAAGGAGGCCGAGAATAAGTGCCTCATACTCAGCTTCATTGTTAGAACAACGAAAGGCCAACTTGAAAGCCGCCGTGACTTGCTGAGTTGGCTAGGTGAGAACAATGCCTGCCCCACCACCCGTGCTAGTGGAAGACCCATCAAAAGCTAATTTCCATTCGCCGTGAGTATCTGCAATGGCAGCCACCTGGAGCTCATCAAGAGGCAATACCTCATCGAGGGGCTCATGCCTATGCTCGGGGAACTGCGTGAGCAAATCTGCTAAAGCTTGGCTCTTGATACCTTGCGGTGCATAACAGGTAATGTCAAACTCCGAAAGAGCTAAAAGCCATTGCGACGCCTTCCCTGAGATGATTGGCTTAGAGAGGAGGTGCCGATACGGATCGCACTTTATGATCAAATGGATGCGATGAGCCATGAAGTAATGCCTGAACTTTTGTGCAGTGAAAACAAGGGCGAGGCAGTGACGCTCAATGGCTGAATAGCGAGCCTCAGTCTCGCGTACAAGGTGATTGAGATAATAGACAGGCCGTTCTTGCCCGTCGACTGTTTGCGCGAGAAGGGCCCCAATAGACTTGTCAGTTGAAGTGAGATAGAGGAGCAGAGGCTGCTCCTTAATAGGTGGGTGCATGGTGGTTGAGGAGGCAAGAATGGCCTTGATTTTCTCAAAGGCTACTTGATGAGCTGCTGTCCAAAGGATTTTGACATTGCCTTTAATCAAAGTGCTAAAAGGATGAGAAACTTCGACGAGAGCTGGTATGAACCTGCGCAAATACGAAACTTTGCCCAAAAAACTTTTAATCTGTTTGAAGGAGCAGGGGCGGGGCATATCTGTGATTGCATAAGCTTTAGTAGGGTCGAGGTCAATTCCCTGGCGATGCACTAAAAAGCCCAAAAAATTGCCGCGACATACCCCAAACACGCACTTAAGAGGATTCATGCGTAGATTGTACATATGACATCGCTCAAAGACGCGATGCAAATCGTGCAGATGACCCTCTTGCCGCTTGGATTTCATGACTAAATCATCAACATAATCTTCCACCGTGTGATGCAGCATATCATGAAAGATGGCAGTCATTGCTCTTTGATATGTGACTCCAGCATTCTTCAACCCAAAGGGCATGACAGTGTAATGGAAATTGCCAGGTGGTGTCCGGAACGCAGTCTTGTAGGCATCTTCTTCGGCCATCCGTATTTGATTGTAGCCACTGTATCCATCCATGAAGGAAAAAAAGTGAATGCCCAGCTGTTACATCAACCAGAGTGTCAATGATAGGAAGAGGAAAATCATCCTTCGGGCATGCCTTGTTGAGATCGCGAAAATCAACGCAGATCCAGATTTGTCCGTTCTTTTTCTTCATGGGAACAATATTTGCCAGCCAAATTGGATGTAAGATTGGCCTAATGAATCCTGCTAGGAGTAAATTTTTGACCTTTGTCTTAATCTGAAGCTCGAGCTCAGGTCTATAGATGCGAGGTGCTTGTTTGATAGGACGCAAGCCTGGGATGGTGCTGAGATGATGTGTCACGAGCTGGGGGTCAAGTCCTGGCATCTCGCTATAGGTCCATGCAAAGACGTCCAAGAATTCTTTCAAGAGGCAGATAAGGCCGTCTTGCAATGATGGGTCCAACTCTGAGGAGATGAAAGTTTCCCGTGGTTCTAGTCCTGCAGGGGCGAGATTAACTTCCTCGAGATCCGGCCTTTGCAGCGACACTTCCTACACATTCGTAGACTCATCAACTGGGCTCGCCAAGGTGGAGCCTGCAAACCGTCATAAGTGATAAATATATCGCCCATCCGGCAGCCTCACCCGTTTGCACTCTCTCGGGGTAGCGGCTTCCGCACCACGCCGAGGAACATACGGTTGTGGAGGGTAGAAAATGCCTTGCTGTACCTCTTCCCACTTGGGTAGCGGAGTACGGATTATATGCTCCTCTGCTTCCTCATCCTCATCATCCAACTCATCAAAGAAAAGAGCCTCGGTAAAGTGTGCCTCATGCTTGGCAAAAGGCTTATCGGAGCACGGAACCATGACGACCTTGTTACCCAAGATGCCTTTGAAACATTGATGGTAGGTGGAAGCTAGTATACTGAAATGGTGCATCCATGCCTGCCCGAGGAGAACATGATAGGATGTATCAGCCTTGATGACGTGGAATTTGGTGGGAGCTCGAAATCTACTAACCGCGAGATCAACGTTTACATAGCCGAGAGTCTGGTGGGATTCATTGCCAAAACCATAGACCTCGATGGCTTCTTTGACAAGGCGATCTTGGGGCAAACCAGCTTTCTGGAAGGTGGCCCATGGTATGATGTTGATGGAAGACCCGTTGTCGAGAAAAGCGCGCTGGAACTCCCTACCATTGAGTTGCGCAGTGACATAGAGTGGACGATTCTAAGGGGTAGAGACCCTTTTGTCAGATTCAGAAAAAGAAATGGTCAACAGAGCCTGGCGAGAGAAGGGTTAACTTGACGAAGTGGCGGCACAACACTCTTCCTCGCCGCATTGCGCTTGAACCTTCGATTGAATGGGGTTGGTTTTTTCCAACTCATCATAATACGTGACCACCGCCACACCGCGATGACGAGGGTATGGATTGCACCGTACATCCTTTGGCGTGGTTAACTCGAGATCACCACCCTCGAGACGTTGTTAAAAAATTCGCCTAAGAGTCCTGCATGTACTTGTTGGATGTGAAGTGGCTTGGTGGAAGATACAGAAATTTGGACTTGCACGCTCCTCCGCTGTCGGCTCTTTGTGAGGGACGGGTAGCACAACTATATCGTGCTTGACCACTGTTCGAGAGTACTGGCAACTTCCTCCATACATACTGGGAATGGGGGAGGCTCATTTGTTCGTTCAGCTCGAGATCTTTTGGCCCTAACATCTGTCTCGCGCCGCTTTTTGGCCCTGTCATTGCGAGGAGCAACCGGCGTGTCCTTACGAGTGACCTGTCCAGTGACTTCTGCCTTGGGAGGTGCGAGATCTTTGCAAATGTTCCGCACGGCTGTGGTGAGATCACTGAAGCTGTTAAGACCCAGATTGACCAAGTGTATCCTATAGGTCTTAGTCATGCCTTGTATGCAAATATCAACTAGATCCCTTTCACTACTGCCCTCAAAGCATCCCTCGTACGGGTTTGGAAACGAGAAATGAACTCGAGGGGCTCCTCATGAGATTCTTACGTTTCTTTGGTGAGAGAGAGTGTCATGGAACTTCTGGGAAAGTTGCTGCCAAGTGGTGGCCGAGTCTGGCTCGAGACTACGAAACCATCTGTACGCAAGCCCGGTGAGAGACTTGGAGAATTCTTGCAGGCGTAAGATGTCGTCATGGCTATGCTGGCCTAGAGATTCCACGAATCTCTACCAGTGCTCGTCGGCATCCCCTTTGACACCATCATATTTGGGAAACTTTGGGATGATGTACCCTTGTGGGTACGGTGTCTGAGCCAGGCTTTTTGGGTACGGAGGCTTCGTACGCAAAACTAACGCACGTGCAGTCGACGGGGCATGTTTCATGAAAAAATCATGTAGCATGGATTCAGTGACATATTTCGGGGAGGGGTTTGCTGGTGGAATTGGTTGAACTGGGGCGGGTTTTGGGGCTGCTTAGGCTTGTGTCAGCGGATACCATAGCGGTGGCCCGTGAGTAGACGAACTGCCTGGCTGGTCATGCTTAGGAAGGGCCACTCTAGTGGGAGAAACAGTTCTGGCTCGTGCACTCTGCATGATCAAGGCTTCCAACCTATTAAGGCGGTCGTTAAGATCACGTTGGACTGCAACAGCCGCTCATGAATAGAGGGGGCCGCTGAACTTTCCAGCATCGTGACATGTGGTGCACGGGCATTGTAAGCATGTGACGGGGCCGGGGATTGAAAAGGAGTGCCACCGCCACCCCCAACAGAGGGCTCTGAATGGTGAGTCGGCATATCCTGTGATTCCATCTGCTTACACTGATATCCCCAGTAAAGTCATCAAAATGTAGGGGTTCTTTTTGACAAGTAATAAAATAGTAATAAAAAAAGAGATATCAGTAATACAAATACGAAGGAAAACAGAGGAGATGCTTAGTGTAGGAGGAGGAGAAGAAGACCAATTAACTAGATTCAGGTGGTGGTAGGGCGAATACACAATGTGACAGCTTTTTCTTTTTGTTCGGAGAGTCCCCCCCGCTTTCTTCATAGGACAGTGCTATTTATAGATCGAGATTCCATTGGTCATTATCCAATAGTCCCTTCTATGCATGGTTTCTGGCATGCATCACCCCCAATCAGGATTACGCGAGTAATCCTGCAGATTTAGAAGGCTGAAGGGTCTAATCCTTTCCTCGAGCCTTGTCCCATGTTGCCATGTCACTTTTCCCCTAATCAGGGGCATTAAATGTTGCTTGGCCATCGGTTGGTCAAGCCTGACATAGCATTAATTGTGATTTTAAGGTTTGTTGTCATAACATGTATAATCCCATCATTTTGTTAATTGGGCCTTGCTAAGAGCGAAGGCACTTCTTGACTTCTCATCCACCAATCCAAAATCCTCCTAGGTTTCCCAAATATGGACTTCTATAACACACAGATCCTACCTCATCTTGTGCTAAGGAGCTCCGATCTCTCAAGATGGTGTCACCTGGCGTAACACCAGGATTCGGAATGCTCGAAGATCAGCCTCTAGAGGCTTACTGGGCCTGGGGCGATGCTAGGGCTTAGAGTGCTCGAGATTTGATTTTTCGAGGCTTGAGGGCCTGGAGCGATGCCAGGGCTTAGAGTGCTCGAGATTTGATCATTCGAGGCTTGGGGGCCTAGCGCGATGCCAGGGCTTAGGGTGCTCAAGATTTGATCATTCGAGGCTTGGGGGCCTGGCGCGATGCCAGGGCTTAGGGTGCTCAAGATTTGATCATTCGAGGCTTGGGGGCCTGGCGCGATGCCAGGGCTTAGGGTGCTCGAGATTTGATTTTTCGAGGCTTGGGGGCCTGGCGCAATGCCAGGGCTTAGGGTGCTCGAGATTTGATCTTTCGAGGCTTGAGTGCCTGGAGCAATGC